TTTTGAACTCCTTAAAAACTCCTTACTTCTTCAAACGAAGCTCTCTCGGTCTCTTTTCCCAAAAAGCTCTCTCAAACTCCCCTTTCCGAAAGCTCTTTTGAACACACAGCCTCCCTTTCAACAAGCTTTTAAATACCCAAAATCCTAGCCTCCCACACTAAAAAAAACCCAAGCCTCTCATGAAAACCCATATCTAAACAGCAAACTAAAAAACAGAAACAAAAAAACAAAGACAAACAGTCCTCCTCGTAAGGAAGAACCTCAGCGTCGAGCTCCCTACAAGAACAAAAAAAATCAGATCAGCTTTCGTTTTACAAAAAAAAAAAATAGCAAAGTTAGAAAAGTTCAAACCCCGATCTAAGCCGATCGGGGATTGTTCTCCCGAAAAGGACCTCAGATCTGAACTCAAGAGGTTGAGAGGAGCATTGCGATGTATTTTGGTAATTTTTTGGCTACCGGTGACCACCGACAGCGATCGCCGACGACGACCTAGGTGGCGGCCGACGAGGTGGTCCGGGGACCGGACGACGAGAGCTCTGGAGCTTTTCCCAAAGCTCTCCCCCCTTTTTTTTTTTTCTGAAAACAGAAACCAAATGAACAAAATTTTTTTTTCGGTTATATATAAAAAACAAAGAACCAAAACGACGTCGTTTCGACCAAGAAGATCCGCGCGTTGACTCGGATCCGACCCGAAATCCCTGCAACCCGACTCGTGAACCCGTTCTTTCAACGGCTGCTGATTGGTCCAATTGAACCGATTTGAGCCGGAGTGAATCGTAGACAGTTCAACCCAACCAGGCGCCAAATCGACCCTTTTTCAGTCCAACCGAGCTGGTCGTTGATCGGACCGTTGACCGGCCTAGTTCAGGTAAAAAATTTTTTTTTTTGAATTTTTTAAATTTTTTTATATTATTATTTTTGTTATTTTGAGTTTGTTTTATTTATTCTTGCATGATAAATTTTTAAATTTGTTATAATAAATGTCTCATTATTTTAATAATAATAAAAATGAAAACGATTTAAAATATATATTAAAAATGTTCAAAAAAATATTTATTTATTATTATTATTTTCCCTGCTTAGATGTTGGAGGGAATAAAAAATATTTTTCTAAAAAATAATTCCTTCTAGATATTGGAAATTATTATTAATAAATTTTCATAAAAAAATAATAAATATAAGAAAATTTTAAATTAATTTTAAAAAATTATTAAAATCAAAGTTGCTTCGAAAATCTGCCTAGATGTTAGAGATTTTTAGAGATGTTCGTATTTTCTTAAAAAAGCGAAACCTTAAACACTAATTCTTAATTTTCAAAATCCTAAGTTTCTAAAACCCCTAAAATCCAAAATCTCCTAAAATTCAAAATCCAAAAATTCAAAATCCAAAAATTTGAAACCCCTAAAAATCCAAAATCCTTTAAATCCAAACCACTTAAAATCCGAAACCCCTAAAATCCAAAACCCCAAAAAATCTGAAATTCTAAACCTTTAAACTCTTAAATCAAAATCCTAAAATTCAAAATCCCTAAAATCCAAACCCTTAAATCAAAACCCCAAACCTCAAAATCAAAACCTTAAAATCTTCAAACTCTAAAATCAAAACCTTAAACCTTCAATATTCTAAAATTCAAGCTTTAAAACCCTCTAAACCTTAAAACCAAACCTCCAAAACATCTATTCAAGCCCTTACTCAAAACCTCTTAAAAATCCTAAGGACATGTGTGAAAATTCCATTTGAAGCAATTTGTTCCCGAATGTCGCCTAGATGATGAGGTATTTAAGAAATTTTACTTCGTTAAGTCTTTTCACACGATTTCTTAATTCGCACTAATAATAAGATTAATAAATAAAAATTATAACAGTAAATCGGGATCTTAAATATAAACAGTCGCACCTAAGCTCTGCCTAGATGTTGGAGAGTCGGGGTGGTTTCATTATACTTAAGAATCCAACTTTTAAATTACATTTCATTTTATATGACATTCATTGACATACGTACGTTAGCGTGTTATTATCAGTAATTATTTGCACTATTCTGTCTTTAATTTTTATTTACTACTTGGTAATAAAATATTTTATAATAAAAAAGAATAATACTTAAAAAAAATCTTTTTGTGATATTATAAAATAAAATAAAAATAACATTCCGAAAGAAATAATTCTTGGTACTTTGCTTAAATATTGGAAAGTCACTAACAATTATTTTTTACAAAGATTGTTATTTCATTTTAAAGATTATTGTGTTAAATCTTAAGCGAAAATAGTTATTTTAAATTCTACCTAGATGTTGAAGAATTTTAAGATAATTCTTTAACTTAAAGATTTTCTCAATATTTTTAAATAAAAATTTTTAGTAAAATTTTATTTTTTCAAATGAAGGGAATTAGTGTTAAATTTCAAATTAAAATTATTTTTATCCAACATCGAAAATAACGCGTAATTAAATGGTACCAATTTATGGGTGTTGTGGGGGTGTTAATCCTTCCACACACGTAACCGACTCTTGGACTCAACCTAATTTTTCGTAGACCGAAATTCATCTTTTTGATAAACTTTAAACCCGTTTTTATAGTTTTATTAAAAAGATAAACTTTTAGGTGGTTAATCACACTTTAACAAAGATTGATGACGACTCCATTTTATTGTTCTCGATTTTAAAATTTATTTTACGTCTGACGATCCAAAATCGTTATGACAATATTCTAAAATCTTATTTGTATTTTTAAATTTCGAATCCATCCCAGAATTTCTTTTATTTCCAAAGGGTTGAAAATGCTGTTTTTTTCTTTTTTTTTTTAATTAATATTTGATGGATGCATAAGGTGTATTTAAAGCTTTCACAAGGTTCTGAAAACAACGTTGTCATTTTTTCATAGGCATTAACTATGAAGTTCGATGAATTCAGACAAAACATAAGTTAACTTTTTTAGCTGTAATGCAGGTTTTTTTTTTTTTTTTTGAGATTTATTTGTAGGAGTCATTGTCTTCAGCTATTACACTGAATTTTCTCAAGGACCAACCTGTAATTAAAACTCTTTAGGTAATGAATTTCACAAAATTTCTCGTTAAAATTTAAAATAATTGAATAAAAACTTAAATTAAATATCAATATTGATGTACTTGGTAAACTATTTCGATAAATAGATCAAATTTTTAACACAAAATTTTTATTAAATAACCTATTTATGTAATGTATTTAACATGTGAAATTTATTTAAATTTTGTATTATTCTGTTCGGCAAGCTCTATCAATCAATCTAGTGGTTTGATTTTTTTAATTAAAATTTGATTAAATTAATTTTAATAAAAAATTTACTTTGCCAACATCACATAAGAAACTTCATTCAAATCTCATTTTTCAAGTTGTTTCTAGGATAAAACACACCATCTTCCGTACAAGTTTTTAATTTTTAAATTACAAATAAATTTTTGTTTTTTTATAGAAAGAAACATCCAAAATAGACTTAGAAAGAAATATATTTTAAAATAATTAATGAAATATTAATTTCTTAAAAGGTATAGTTGTTTGTAGAGGTGTTCATGGGTTGATTTGGCTGGCCTTTCAAAACCCTTATCCAAGGTTTGGTTCATGAACTTTTAAATATATTTTAAAATTAAATTAAAAATAATTTTATCAATTAAATAATAGTGAGAAAACTTTATCTAAGGTCCCCCAAACTGAGTTAGAGGAATATCCTAAGGTCTAATTTTTTGTTTCTTCTAAATATTTATCTAAAATCATATTTTAAAATAAACCAGCTGGGTGTTCATTCCAAAGAAGAATTACATTTGTTGTAATTTCTTCCAATTTTAAAGTATATTATGTACCCAAATATAAATAATAAATTTTGGGCATAATTTTGCAAAAAAGAGGATTCAATCTCCACTCTTTTCATTGAAAATACATTCATTTTCCTTTTCAAACTTCAAAAAAATTCATGTTCAGATTTTTTTTTCTCTAAAACTTATAGTGAATTAAAAACAAAATGTACCCATTTTGTTAGGCCCGAAAAATATATATAAGTAATTAAGGTGAAAATTACTGCTATACTATAATATAATATTGAAATTTTCATTGCACTTCACTTTTATGGAATTTTATCATTGAACTATAATTTCATTAATTTTTTAAGAAAAAATAACAAATTGGAAATATTTTATAATATTCTATTAATGTAATAAATGCCAATAAATTATCATTAATTCTATTATCTTTTAAAAAAATTAAAAAATATAAAAATATAACAATAAAATTCATGGAAATTAAATTCAATAACAAATAAGAATGTTAACTCATGATACAATGACATATTTGATTTAATCCTGAAATACAATTATAATGAAAAAAAAAAAAAGTTTGTGTTAAGCCTAGGTGATTAAATGGGAGAAAAGAATGGTGGTGTTATTGCAGCAGCAAACGTCAAAGCCGGCAGGGACATTGATTCCTATGATATTTCCCTTCACAAATTCTACTCTACTCCTACTGCTCAACCCCCAAATGAAAAATGAACCAAAAGGAAGGAAAGAAGAGGAAAGAAAAAGAAAAAACAAATTAACAGCTTGTGTCCAAATTGGCGGCTTATAGATATTCCTCGAGTATGTTAAAAAAAAAAAAAAAAGGGCAAAAATTACTCCCAAATCCCAATCTTTACCATTATGATAAATAATATTTAATTTTGGATAATATTTCAAATAAAGAATATTTTTTGGGATTTACCCATAAATAAATTCCTCTTCCTTCCATTTATATTTAAGGATTTATAATTAATGTATTGAATGCTATAGTGAATTACATAATAATATTTTTGTTTATTTATTTTTTAAATATATTTTTAGCATTAATTGTATTTATTTTTAAAAATTTTAAGCTTTTAAAATTAATTTTCTATGAAATATAATTCACTAACTGTTTATAACATGTATATATTAATCATGCGTCAAACATAAATTTTGTATTTAAATCATTGTTTCGGATCACAAATTGTAATTAATAATTTATCCAAAGTTTCCTTGAGACTCTCCAAGTCAACTATTGAATCTCTCCAAAGACTGTTTTATCCTCCAATTTCTCTCTTTGCTTGCATTTGCACTCACAGGCACTCTTTTTTCCTTGTCTATATATTAAGAAATAAGTTCACAACGAAACTCTAAATCATTAATCTTTTGTTGAGACACTCCAGCAAAAGAGAGTTTTTGCAAAAATGGTGGTTGCAGGGCCAGGTTTTGGTGGTGGTGGAATGCCAAACATGAGGAGCTTTGCTGTTCAGATCCTAACAGGACCATGGCTAATGGTTTTCGGATCATTGTTGATCATGTCTGCTGCTGGTGCAACCTACATGTTTGGCCTCTACTCCAATGAAATTAAAACATCGTTAGGATATGATCAAAGCACCCTCAATTTGCTCAGTTTCTTCAAGGATTTAGGCACCAATGTTGGAGTCCTTGCAGGCCTGATGGCAGAGGTCACACCCCCCTGGTTTGTGCTATCCGTTGGGGCAGTACTCAATTTTTTTGGGTACTTCATGATTTGGTTGGCCGTTACCAAAAGGATTCCTACACCTCAAGTTTGGCACATGTGTTTGTATATTTGTATCGGTGCCAATTCTCAAGCTTTCGCTAACACAGGATCTCTTGTCACCTGTGTCAAAAATTTCCCTGAAAGCCGGGGAGTTGTTCTGGGAATCCTGAAAGGTTATGTTGGCCTGAGTGGTGCAATCATAACTCAATTGTACCATGCTTTTTATGGTGATGATTCAAAGGCCTTGATTTTGCTTATTGGTTGGCTTCCTGCTGCTATCTCACTTTGTTTTGTCAGAACAATTCGGATCATGAAGGTGGCTCACCAGACTAACGAGGTCAAAGTTTTTTACAAATTTCTCTACATCTCTCTTGGCCTTGCTTCTTTCCTGATGATTATTATCATTATAGAGAAAAGATTCGTTTTCATACGGCCTGAATATGGTGGCAGTGCTGCCATGGTTGTTTTCTTGCTGTTTTTGCCACTTGGGGTTGTGATTATGGAAGAATACAAGCTTTGGGAGGCCAAGAATAGGGCCTTAAACGATCCTTCTCCATTGAAAATTGTCACTGAGAAGCCAAGTTCCGAGGTGTCCATGGAGAACACTGAGGTTCCCTCATCATCAAGCACAGCAAAGATTTTAGCCGATAACGAGTCAAGCAATGATCAAGCCAATGTTTCCTGCTGGAAAACAGCATTCAAGCCACCAAACAGAGGGGAAGACTACACAATTTTACAGGCACTTTTCAGCCTTGACATGTTCATTCTTTTCATAGCTACAATTTGTGGGATTGGGGGTACCTTAACAGCAGTTGACAATTTGGGACAGCTTGGAACCTCCTTGGGGTACCCTAATAGAAGCATAAGCACATTTGTATCCCTTGTGAGTATATGGAATTATCTTGGCAGAGTTACATCAGGTTTCGTATCAGAAATTTTCTTGGACAAGTACAAGTTTCCTAGACCTCTAATGCTCACCTTGATCATGCTTTTCTCATGCGTTGGTCACCTTTTGATAGCCTTCGGTGTCCCTTTTGGACTTTATATTGCATCAGTAATCATTGGGTTCTGTTTTGGGGCTCAATGGCCACTACTTTTTGCTATAATATCCGAAATATTTGGCCTCAAGTACTATTCTACATTGTACAATTTTGGGTCAGTTGCCAGCCCTATTGGGTCCTATATACTTAATGTAAGAGTGGCTGGAAATTTGTATGATAAAGAGGCTAGGAAGCAAATGGCAGCTCTGGGATTGGTAAGGAAGGCTGGTGAGGATCTGAATTGCAATGGGGTTCACTGCTTCAAATTGTCCTTCATTATAATTACAGCTGCCACATTGTTTGGAACTGTTGTGTCAATTTTTTTGGTACTTAGGACAAGAAAATTTTATAAGAGTGACATTTACAAAAAGTTCCGAGAGCAGGTGAAAGCTGCGGAGACGGAGATGGCGGCTAACGGAGAAGTAACTGGGTTGCCGAAGGTAAAGGCTTCCAGAAACGGCGTTGGACCGGAGGCTACCGTAGACGGTGTTGGACCGGAGGCTAAGGCAGGGTAGGGATATTTTACTATTGTGTAACTTCTAACAAGTGGGGTATAGATATAGCTAAAAAAAACCTATGGGAGAGAAGTCTCATTGAATTTGGTATGGTGCTTGTGTTCAACCAAAGAAAAAGTAATCCTGGGTTTTTTTTTTTTTTTAAATAAAATTTACGGGGTTTTAAATAAATCAAAGAAAGTCAGAAACTTGGCAACTGCCATCTTGACCATACAAGTTTCAATTTATTTTATGGTTCCCTACACGTACCTCCGTTAATAGTATGATTCAACGTGTTAAAAAATATTACCACTTGAATATTCCTAATTGACAGCAAAGATGAGTTCTTTGAAGCAAGAAATCCTCATTGGCCGATGATCAGCTGCCAGGTTTTAGATAATATTTTGTTATCCATGCATCACCTTAAAACTTCAATTATCTGAATTTTTTTTTTTTTTTTTTACAAAAAAGTCATTTGAATTTTGAAGATAGTTTAGAGTTTGCATATACTAAGATTTAATATTAAAAAAAATTATTTTTTAGAAATAATTATATAAATTAATTAAATTAATTTTCGATTTCAACCTTTTTTATTTTAATACGACATAATAATTAGTTTTTTGAGGACATGTTTCTTGTAAGAATGAAAAATTATATTATAATAATTTTTTCCTATACAATGGAATCCTATGACAACTTTCCAATGACTCCAAATCCGTAGATTTCCTCGTTAATGAATTGAACATTAACCTATCATTTTCTTAGGGGAAAAAAAAAAAAAACTAGCTCAAAAGAATAGAAAAAAACTTTGCAAGATTCCAAAATTTTTCCTTTCCTTTAACTTTCCACGCTCCTTCCTACAGTAACATCCATGAGAAAATAGATTAAATTTTGATCACAAAATTTAAAAGATTTTATTGATTTTGTCTCATAATTAACTGTTTTTCCTATAAAAATCTTCTACCCGTCATGCTACGTTGTCCACAATGGTATATCCTATGTATGCCAACTGCTTATACTTCTTGTTTTTAGAGCATTCTAAATTTGATATAATATTGCATATGCCGAATCAAGCTATGTTTAAGAATATCAATTTTACTCAAATTTAATAAAAAATTTATTTATTTTTTAATAAAAATGAGTATAAGTATGAAATTTTGGAATGAAAACAAAAATATGTATAATTTTAAAATATTCATCCGATATAAAGATAAAAACAAATAATATTATATTCATTCCGTACCTATATCAAATATATTTATATATAATTCTATATATTTAAAAACTTAGCTTTTAATTTTTCTTTGCTTATTGCACTTTAACTCATCTTCTTTTGATCAAATCTGTTAATAAAATACATTATTTTAGCTAATCACATGAATTATTACACTATCTTTTATCCAAAACGTCATTGAAAAGTGATAAAAAGACTCGTGGAAGTCTAATAAAAGGGGCAAAACATCACATTTAAACAAGAATCAATCAATAATTGATCGAGATATTTCCCAAGTAGGGAAAGATCCATCTCCCAAAATAAATTTATAGGCTTTGAACTTGGGGTGAGGTTAACTATTTGCTGCTTAATCCCGTCCAGGCAGATGCTTATTGCATGTACAAGGCCTCAATATCTTTCGAAACTGAATTTGGCAATAGGTAGGACAAAACAAAATGTACTGAATAAAATGCAAATTGAATGGTATTAAAACAAAAAAAATAAAAAAATAAAAAAGCAATCGAGCCACTTAAATGACTTCTACAAGTCAAACACTTGAAGTCAAAATTGTTTTCACAGAATATGAATACATCAAAACTACAGGTATATATTACACACATAGTGATGATTTTGAAATTGAAAAAGAGTTGCAATATGTGTATATTACATACTCATTGATAAAAAAAATTTTATGTATTAAGTTTAAATTAAATTATTTATTATTATTGTTGTTGTTGTTATTGTTAATATTATTATTATTATGATAAATGTTTTTTTTATTTGATTTTCAATAGGTTTTTTTATGATGTATTTATGTGTTGATCAAGTGAAATTTTCAAGAAAACATCATTTGAATTATCATTTGTATTAAACTTCTTTTTTATAAATTTTATTTGTTGATTTTTTATGATTTATATTTATATTTGCATTAATGTGTGTCGCATTTTATTTGATATATTTATTGTTTAGTTTTTACTTACTTTAAAGAATATTGAAATGTTTATTTTTTTTAATAAAATGGATACGAAAAATATTTATAACCGTTACATACTATAAGGATGAAGATGAAGATGGAAACAAATTATATAATCTGAGATGGAGAAGATTCTATTTTTTCCAAACCCATCCCATTGGCATCCCTAGCTGTGATTATAATCATATTTTGTATATAAACTTTGAAGAATCCTTTGTTATGAAAATGAACTTTTGTTCTTTTCTTTAATTTAGACGTCAATATAAAAATAATTAGTTATCGTAAGTTGTATAATTTATGAATAGATTTATTAAATTTTTATTTCAATGATTAAGGCTCAATGTCTACAATTTTAAGTATAAAAATATAAAAATAATTAGTCATCGTGACAAATTAATCTGCCTTTGAACTTAATGCGGAATAGACAGCACAAGCAGCCTAAATGTCTTTAGTACGAAGTTGAAGAGAACTTATAGTAGTAGAGAAAATTATGGGAGAATAAAATAAGAGTACACACTATACAATGCGTCAAAGGAAAATCATCAAGAAAAATGGGCTGCAGCCTACAATTTTAGCTGGGTTTTCGGCTAGTCAAAACCAAACCCACAAGCTGTAAGGCCAAGCCATTGCCGAATTAGATCTGAGGGGTGGTGGGCCCCAAATATTTATTCACCTTGACTTATTGTTCTTTTATATCTAAGATTATCAAAAATTTAAATTTTGATAATTGAAATTAAAAACCAAACCTTATTATCATACAATTATTGACTAAGGAAAAAAAAGTGCAACACCAAACTTCACAAAAAGTCACTTATCCTAATATTACTCTCGCTTTCGAAAATGTAATTTGCCACTAATAATTTAAATTAGATGAGTGCTTGCATGTTGTTGCAAGTAAAAAAAAAATTTTGTTTTGTCATACTTATTTATTAGTTTATTATTAAAAATTTCACTTAATTTTGTTAAAATAGGAAAAAATGACAAAAGATAAAAAAATCAAGTAATATATATTTTAAATAATCATATCAAATTGTCGCGTATTAAAAAAAATTTTAAATACATATCTTTTAAAATATCAAATATTAAAAAAAAAGTAGAAATTAAATAGCAAAAGAAAAGAAAAATAAAATAAAGAGTCAACTGACTTAACATATAGCATACTAACATATTTATTGATATTAAGTGGGTCTTCAAAAAATATAAAAAATAATTTATTAAATATAAAAAAGAAGGAAAGAAAAAATGAAAAATAAAAGCATGTGACATATCATAAGTATCAAGTAACAAAAGGATGTTCATTTGGTTGGTTCAGTTAATTCCGAATCAAATTATTCAAAATCGAATTAACTAAATTATATTATTTTGTTATCATTAATCGAACAAAATTTATTAATTTTAAAAATTAATAGACTGAATTTAATTTGATCAGTTTGGTTAACTGAATAATAAATACATTTAAGTTAAATTATATTTTAAACTATTAATTTCTCATATTTTAACAAATTAAATAAAATTATCCAACAACATATTCTAGTATCAAATTATTATGTTAAAAACTTTAACCATTTATGAAATAAAATGATCAATTTCATGTATTTTTCATTTGATATTTGGATTATATTATATTCTAGGTTAAAATTTTGATTAATTCGATTTGAAAACCGAATTAACTGAAAACTAAAATACTTCTAAAATTATTTTCATTAATTGATCAAAATTAATTTGATGATTGATTGATTAATCAAATTAAATTAGATTGGTTGATTAATTCGATTAAAACCGAATTATGAACACTTTTATCAAGTAGGTCCAACAAAAAAATATAATCTTAAAAAATCTTTGTGAAATATTTTTTAAATTTAAAAAGGATAAAAAAGAAAAACCAAAAAAGAAAGTTTGGTATAAGCGGGTGTCAAAAAAGTAAAATCTTTAAAAATATATTTTATACTTTTGAAAAACTTTTAATAAATAATTTAAAAGAAAAAGTTTAAAAACCTAAAAAAAAAAGAAAAAAATTTAAAAAAAATGTTAAAATGGCACGTGATAGCCAAAAGTAATAGTATTGTTAACCATGCATTACCCAAGTGGATTATAAAAAAACTTTAAAAATCCTTATTAAATATTTTTAAAAATAAAAAGTTAAAAAAGAGTAAGAAAGAAAAGTAAAAAAAGAAAATTTAGTATAAGTGGGTTCCATAAATAAAAAAAATACAATCTTTTAAAAAATATTTTTTATAATTTTAAAAAATATATGAAAAAAGAAAAAGCAAATAAATGACATACTATTGATATTAAGTGGATCTTAAAAAAAAAATAAAAAGCGTTTTATTAATTTTTTTAAAATTTAAAAATGAAAAAAAATTAAAAAGGATAAAAAAAATAAAAGCAAAAAAAGGTTTGATGTAAGTAGATCTCAAACATAAAAAATAAAAAATTTAAAAATTTTATACTATTATAATTTTAAAAATATTTATTAAAGAATTAAAAAAAGTAAAAAAAAATACCCAAAAAATTAAAAAAACATGAAAAACATAAAAACAACACGTGATAACCAAAGGAAGCAAAACTGTCGATCATATATCACTCAAGTGGGTACATTTCACCTACAATTTCTTTTATTACAATATTGTAATTATCTAATCATAGTAAAGAATTATGTTGATGTCCACCACTTATAAATATAAGTTCCATATAAAATTTTGATGAGTGCCACATAATTTTAAATTATGATTGAGTAATTGTATTATAATAATTGTAGTTGATATGCTTCTCACTTAAGTAAATCTTAAAAAAAATTAAATTTAAAAAAATCTTAAAGTTAATAGCATGTGTGTTCCCTAAACTTTAGGTAGATTCTATATTTGTCCTTAAAATTTGAAAAGTTCTAATTGAGTCATCAATTGCTTAAACGTGTGTCAATGTGATCTCTCTGTCTGATGGAT